GGAGAGGAGGAGGAGAGGAAGAGGGGGAAGGGAAGGAGAAGGGAAAGAGAGAGGGAAAGGGGGAGGGCGAGGGGGAAAGGGGAAGAGAGAAGGGAAGGAAAACGGAAAGGGGGAGGGAAAAGGGGAGGTAAGCAGACAGGCCATCTCACTGCTGGCCTTTATCCACACACAATGAATCCCTCTCAGCTTTCTGAAAAGATCTCAGGAGTTCCCTGCTTCATTATGCCATTCTTTTTCCTCTTTTACCTGTACTACTGGAACCCTGGCCAACAAATGGTGTGACTGGCTGTGCTGGCTGCTTGGTGGAGCCGCTGGGCATACATTCACTCTTCAAGCTGCCCAGACCCATTCCAGCAGGAGGCGTCATAAACAGCCCTGGTGACTGGGGTGCCTTGGGGTCCTCTGTGCTTGTGGTTTTCCTCATACTGTGTTTGGGTGTACCCGTTGGGGAGGATGAAGGCACAGATTCCTGGAAGGGACACAATAAAATCAGAATGGAAGAGTGGAATGACAATTATCTTTTCTTTTTTTTAATGTCTGAGACTGGAACTCAAACGTGGTACCTGATAATTTGGTTCACTGGCTAGCACTTTACCAACAGAGCCACGCCTTCAACCAAGAGACAATATCTTTACTGTCACAGAAGTCCTGAACCAATCCCTAGATCTTTCCTGCCCTCAGCTTGGCCCAGCTCCTATAAACAAGAGAACAGCAGGGCCATGGAAATGCCTACTATCAGATTCCGTTAAGATGCCACGGGTGAGCCAGGACCTGATGAAATGTACAGTAGTATTATAGGAACATACCAGCTCAAGAGCAAATGTCCATGGGGGGAAGGGGAGCGAGAGGGAAAGTGGGACAAAAATGAGGGAGGAGGTAACAAATTCAACAAGAAATGTACTTACTACTTTACATTTATAACTCTAACCCTTCTGTGCATCACCTTGACAATAAAATTAAATTTTTAAAAAAAGAGCAAATGTCAAAATATTCATTGCTTCAGGTCATTTCATTTAGGTAACAATCAACAAAAAGTACATGTCTCAGCCATGTAATATATTGGTGCTTGAGAGGGGGCATTACTGTTATAAGAAAATGTAACTGGTAGAATTCAGCCATGGTAATTAATGTGTTCGTTAATTAATTAACTCTACAGGACTCCCTACAGGGGTTTACATTTTTCATCTCTAAGTATCTACAGAAATGAAACAAAATGAAAAACAAACAGATTAGTCTTTCTATTCTGTTCTGCTTAAGAACATGAAAATTAGGAAGGGCTAATGCAGAATAAAATAGATTGTGCATTTCCATTGAAAAGATTAGACTCTTGCATGGTGCTTTCAGATAATTACAAACACACACACACACACACACAAAAAAAAAAACTACTTCACCAGAATGAACCAATAATTGGCTGGTAACCCTCCCCAGTGTCCTCACCAGTCTCAACTGCATCTCTGTGTGGCCTCAACAACCTCACAGTCCCCAGACAGTACCGACAGTCCCCAGGTAGCCATGGGACACTGGAAAGCCAGAAAACACAGGTTCACCTTGCAGCAGTGTCCCAGAGCTTTGCTGTTCTCAGCATTGGAAAAGCACTTAAGTGGTAATTAAAAGAAGCCATTTCTTATTTCCTGCAATTTTTATTTCCTGCAAGGCAGATTACTAGGCAAATGCCATCCTTTAAGCATTTCAACATTAAAACCTTCCTTCTTTGATCTGTTTAAACTCCTGAGAGTGTTGGTCTGTAGTTTAATTTATCTCTATATTCTCTCTGCAGGTAATTTAAATAAATCAGTGGCTTGGGCTTGGTGACATGAAGCTTTTCAAAGACTCATAAATTATGGTTAAAGTGCAAGCCATGACTGAGCAAAATGAAAGACGAGAACACAAAAAAAAATTCAAACCTGAACTCATTAAGACATGGACTTATGCAAAACTGCCACATACACAGGAATCCTGGAACTTAAGAGCAAATAAGCTCTGTTCAAGGTTTGATATAAATAGGATTTGCTATTCTGTAGCCACTGGAACATACTGGAACACACTGGACACACTTCTCTGCCATGCAAGTACAGTAAAACTCAAAGTAGATACAAAGTGGAGAAGGTGATAGCTCACTACGTGGAGATCCTGGTCAGTGAGTGACTATAGGTGAGAAGGTAATCCTCACAAGTATGTTTATCAGATTGCAAATAAAGACTTGAACAAACACCACACTCCAAGCAGCCCTTATGGAATTCTACAGAATCACTACTGCTATGTAACAAGACAGTTTTCCTGGGATTTAAGGATATAAAATAAGATCACTAAAAATCAGTGCCCAAGGCTGAAAACATTCTTCTTAACAGACCTTAAAAAAGAGCTTTTCAAGCCGGGCGGGCGCTGGTGGCTCACGACTGTAATCCTAGCTACTCAGGAGGCTGAGATCTAAGGATCGCGGTTCAAAGCCAGCCCGGGCAAGAGAGACCGTGAGACTCCTATCTCCAATAAACCACCAGAAAACCGGAAGTGGCGCTGTAGCTCAAGTGGTAGAGCGCTAGCCTTGAACTGAAGCGCTAAGGGACAGCGCCCAGGCCCAGAGTTCAGGCCCCATGACCGGACCCAAAAAAAAAAAAAAAAAAGTTTCTCTAAGTAGTAGGGCACTCTAAAAAACAAAAACATAGATAATGAGTAATGAAGTAGGCTCTCCCAAGTACAGACATACTTTGAAGAGTTAACTTGTTCCATTTCCTTTGTAAGCACATGACTGTGAACTGACTGCTGAATCCCATAAGGTTTTTTAGAAGAATCAGGACAAAGCCCACATTATACCTTTAAGAGAAAGTGATTCTTGTACACACTGTCACTTAAAATCAAATCCTCAAAAGTAAACAGAAAATTTTTCATTAAAATTCTACAAACTAAGTGCTATTAAATGGCATAACTATAGAAACCCTTGAGCAAAAATGTCTTAGAATATTCTGATAATTCTTCCCAGGTTAATTTCAGAGTATGACCATATATAGCTAATATGTGATATAGAAAGTCAGTCTATTACCCTTTTCCGAAGGGTAGAAAAACACTAAGACTGCTGAGCATGCTCTGGCTAGAGGTGATTCCTTCAATATCTGGCCTGTAAACTGACTTCAGTTTACAGTGTGTGTGTGACCCCTCTGAACAATTTACTAACAGTTTAACAAAATCAATACAAGAAGCTGATGCCTGGTCTACGGACAGTGGCGGTTACAGGAAAGGGGCAGACAAGTAGAAAGAGGGAACATGGGTAAATATAGTTATATTATTCAATGCGTGTATATGAAAATGGAACCAGGGAATGTGAAGGGACTAATGGTTTGGGGATAGATAGAAGGAGAATGATGGCAGGGTGCCAGATTGAGATACATTGTATACATAAATTGACATGTTGAAGTGAAACCCCTTTGTACAACTATTTAAAGACAGTTTTTAAAAAGAATAAAAAAGTTTGGTGCTGGGGGTTCGTGTCTATAATCCTAGCTACTCAGGAGGGTGAGATCTGAGGACTGTAGTTACATGTCAGTCTGAGCAAGAAAGCTATGTAGGCTCAAAGTGGTAAAGCACTAGCCTTGAGCAAAGGAGCTCAGGGACAGCATCCAGGCCTTGAGTTCAAGTTCCATGACCAACCAAAAAAGAATTTAAAAAATTTGGCCTGGCCTCAAAATAAAGATTCATCACAAACAAATACATTCCAAGAATTAACTATGTGATTAGAAAACTGGAACTTTCAGTAGGAGTGCTTAGGACTCTAGAGAAGGGAAAGAGGCTAAAATTAAGTTCAGTCATGAATGGCTAATTATTTAATAGGGAATGTCTACATAATGGATCATTATAAACTTTAAATGATGATTTCAGAAAGGTATGGGGATGGTGAGCATAGATTACAAGAAAGAAGTACCAGGTAATTCACAACTACAAAGAAGAGGGCTGGGAAGGTGGCTCAGTGGTAGAGTGCTTGCTTTGCATGCATGAGGCCCTGGGTTCGATTCCTCAGCACCACATAAGCAAAAAGAAAAAAGCCGGAAGTCGCACTATGGCTCAAGTGGTAGAGTGCTAGCTTTGAGCTGAAGAGCTGAGGGACAGCGCCCAGGCCCAGAGTTCAGGCCCCACGACGGGACCCAAAAAAAACAAAGAAGATGCTATGTTAGACTACATTGTTAAGATAAATGCCTCAGGTAAACCTTGGGCCAAAGGGTTTCCTCTGAAAACACTTACATAATGTAAAGGGCTGACAGTACGGAAGGAAAGCTTTTCAATACAGAACACACTCTAGAAAGTGAGGGGTCAGCTCCATTGTTTATTGGCTATAGTGAGTGTCCACATGCATCTATTTTCATTTAAAAGATTAACTGAATTAGCAATGAAATGTCCAAAGAAAAAGTCAAGTGTGAGCAGCAGGTGTGAATCCTCTTGGGACAGCAAACTAAATTTCTACCCATTGCCTAGACACTGAACTGAAAAGGAGGACAAGAGGTGGCTCTTACCTTGTCTTGCAGGGAAAATGTCCCAGGAGAACCAGCAAAGAGAAACTTGTTCTTCACTTTCAGCTTCCCCAAATTTGCTACAATTAGATTATTTGATCTGGAACTTTCTGGGATGAGGAGGACAGGAGCACCAGCCTCAATATCCAGGAGAACCCGAGAACAACGCTGAGCCTGGTCTCTCACCTAAAAGGGAAGAACTGCTCAGAGACTCAATTCATTCTCTGACTTTACAATTAAATAACCACAGCTTCCCCAAATTTTCATGTATTTTACAACAACCAAAACAACACAACACTTACTCTACAACCATAGGGTAAATGAGAAATCAGTAACAAGATGATCATGAATACATTTCTAAATAAATCTCTGTGTCAAAGAAGAAAGCACAGGGATATAGGAGAATATTTTCACAAACTGACAAAGATGTTAAAATCCATGAAGCTATTTTAAAATAATGCTTAGAAAAAAAATGTATAGCATTAAAAGTTTACTTTAGAAAACAAATATTATTAACTATCTGTAACTAAAGCTTGGATGATAACCAATAAACTAGTTATGTGAGAAAATAATAAGCTATTTTGGGGGGAGGAAAAAGAAGAGAGCAGGGCACCAGTGGCTCATACCTATAATCCTAGCTACTCAGGAGGCTGAGATCTGAGGATCACAATTCAAAACCAGCCCAGGCACAAATGTCCATGAGACTGTAATCTCCAATAAACCACCAAAACACTGGAAGTGGCACTGTGACTCAAGTGGTAGAGTGCTAGCCTTGAACTGAAAAGCTAAGGGACGGTGCCTAGGCCCAGAGTTCAAGCCCCATGGCAGACCACAAAAACAAAAGGAGGTGGGGAGAAAGAAAGAAAAAAAGAACTGACACTATCAGGTCCGGCACAAAACTGTAATGCTAGTATAAGGGAGGCAGAGATGGGAAGATTATGATCCAAGGCTAGCCAAGGGAAAAAGTTTTGAGATGCTACAAATAAGCCAGACATGGTAACAAGCATCTATAATTCCAGCTATACAGACATTTTAGACAGGAAGGTCATAGTAACAGGCTAACCCAGGGGCTTAAAAATAATTTAAAGCAAAAAAGTGGCAGGATACCTACATAGTAAGTGTAAGGTTCTGAATTCAAAACCCCAGTACTACTCTGAACTTAAAACCCTAGTACTACCACCACAAAAAAAGAAAAAGAAAAAGAAAACCTACTATCAGAGAGTATCACTTAATGGTAGAGCACATGTTTAGCATATCCAAGGCTCTGCATTAAAAAAAAATAAACAGAGTCCTGTCATAAGTCAAATTTATTTGTCACGAATTCAGTATCAGGAGAAAAAAGTTAAACAAAATACCTTTTCAAGTGTAATGGCAAATGAAAGAAGGCCTTTAGTACTTCCTGTAACTAATATAAACAGCCAGGATTTAAAGTTCTTGAGAGAATTGCCTTTTCCTCAAATGTTCACAATAGAAAGACATTCCCTTGGCCTTCTACCAGACTCATACAACTAATATAGCAAAAATAAAAGACTCACCTATCAATTCTGCTTACTTCAGAAAGGTGCATAAGGCTAATTACTCAGTAATACCAAATGTCCCATTTTCTAACCCACTGAGTCCTCACAAGATTGATTTAAACCACATATGTAAAAATAATTGTTTAAGTGTACATAAAATTCTAACATGGTGTTTAGCAGAGTTAATTTTTTGTTTCAAAATTATCCATAACTTTGATCAAACAATGCCAATGTAGGGATTACTCTATAAACATATCTCCAAAATGATTAAAAAATAAAAAGTGTGCATAAGGATACTCAGGGGTGGGGATGTTAACCTCAAGTACTTCAGAGGCTGATGAAAAAAGATCCTGAGTTTGAGGATAGCCTGGGCCACATACTGAGAGCCTATCACAGAAGAGATAATCATTGCCAGGTGTGATAGCTCATACCTATAATCCTAGCTACTCCGGAGGCAGATCTGAGGACCATGGTTCAAAGCCAATCCAGGCAGGAAAGTCCATGAGACTCTTATCTTCAATAAAATACTCAGAAAAAATTGGAGGTGGCGCTGTGACTCAGGTGGTAGAGCGCTAGCCTCGAGCCAAAGCTCAGGGACAGCACCCAGACACAGAGTTCAAGCCCCAGGACTAGGAAGAAATAAAGATAATCATTGAAGCATTACTCCTTAGAATGAAATTAAAAAAAAGGAATCAACTTAAACAAAAAAACTGAAGCCAAATGTGACTGCTCAAACTTATAATCCTAGCTACTTGGGAAGTCAAAATCTGATCATCAGAAGCAAACTCACTCCATTTCAATCAATGGCTAGTCTAGTGGTATACATCTGTTACTCCACCTATGGGATAAACATAGGCATAAGAATCCCCACGTAGGCCACCTTGGACATACAGTGAGACCTTGCCTTGAAGGGGCTGGAGGTACAGGACAAGTAGAAGAGTGCCTTCCCAGCAAGCATGGAGCCTGAGTTCAATCCGTAGTACTGCCAAAAATAATTAACTAGTGAAATTCAAAGTTAGGCCCAGTGATGCACCTACCGTCCCAACACTCAGGAGGATTGAGAATTTCAAGGATGCCATGAAAGAAAAGTGCTGGGAAGCTTTTAATCCATTTGGGGAAAACATTCTAACAGTCTAAGAGAAGGGCCCACCGAAGTCCTAAAAGGGTGCAGACTGTCACTCCTGTTTTTCCTTCATTATTTTTACAGAAAGCTAAACTTCACATGTAATTAAAATGGGATACAACAGACAAAGAGTAACACCCTATTAGGGAACACAGTGGTAGGTATAAATTACATTACCTTCACATTTATCAGTGAAATTTTCCAGATTTGCCTCTGGAAAAGTCCTATTGCCCTTGAAAATCCTACTGAAGTTGAAAAAGCAACTCAGAAGTCCTGACATGACCTACCGTCTGGCCCTCAATGGCAGCTCGCTGGCGCCCCAAGACATCCTGCAGCTGGGTGAAGTGCTGAATGAAGGCCACTACCTCAGCCTGGAAGCGCTGGGTGTGCACGTACTGCACCGAGGCCATCTGCAGGCTCACACGAATGTCATGCTCTCTCCGGAGAAGAGGGTCAGCTTGTCCATATCTAGGAATAGCCACAGAAACGCAACTCAGCGGCAAGGCACAAGTTAGTACTAAAGAAAGAATTGGGTCGTTAGAGGCTTCTCTAGAAAATAGCTCTAACTGATAAAATGGAAAACTCCAAAAATGAGTCCCTTTATAAGATTCTGCAAAGCACTAAGAATAGTAATGTAAAGCCTCCTTGATGCCCAGTACATGCTATAACAGCAGGCAGCTCTGGGTCTTTTTTGTTTATTTTTGGGTCCGGTCATGGGGCCTGAACTCTGGGCCTGGGCGCTGTCCCTCAGCTCTTCAGCTCAAGGTTAGAGCTCTACCACTTTAGCCACGGCGCCACTTCCGGCGTTTTTTCTTTTTGCTTATGTGGTGCTGGGGAACCGAACCCAGGGCCTCATGCATGCAAGGCAAGCGCTCTACCACTGAGCCACCTTCCCAGCCCCAGCTCTGGGTCTTGACTCCAGAAAGCACTCAGAGGCCATTTAAGGCTGGCCTTGTACCCCTCTTACTGTAAATGCAGTAAGAAAAGGGGCTTTTCCTGGAAGGACAAAAAGAACTGGAAGATAATAATGAAGAAAGTTTTGAATCATACTTGTAAGAGTAAGGCCCTGGGTTCAATCCCTAGTACAGCCAAAATGAAAAGAAGAACATGCTAGGCACTGGTAGCTCACACCTATAATCCTAGCTACTCATGAGACTGAGATCTGAGAATTGCGGTTCAAAGCTAGCCTAGGCAGAAGACTCTGTAAGACTCTCATCTCCAATTAATCACCAGAAAACCAGAAATGGCACTGTGGCTCAAAGTGGTAGAGCGTTAGCCTTGAACAAAAAGAGCTCAGGGACAATGCCAGGCCCTGAGTTCAAGTCCTATTGCCAATAAAGAAAAAAAAAAAGATCATGACATAATGAGCCCTGAGAATTCAGGTCAGAGCCAGTGTTTCTGGAAAAAAAAACATTTTCTAAAAGCAAAAAACACTTACTTAAGTGAAATGAGGACCAAGAAATATAAATTCAGAGATAAATCTGAAGACTTTTACAACTGTTTACTATTTAATGGCATGTGATGCCATAAAAAGAAGTTTAACTAAAAATGAATCATTGGGAAAAGGAAACTAGCATTTGCTACAAGATGCACATTGCTGCCAAGCACAGAATTAAGAACTTTACTCATCTCATTGATAATACCTTTGTGGTATATAATATAAATGAATCAATTTTTTGTTGTTGGTCAGGGGACTTTAACTCAGGGCTTGGGCAATGTCCCTAAGTTCTTTTTGCTCAAGGATAGTAGTCTACCACTTTGAGCCACAGTTCCATATTTTGAATGGTTAATTGGATTAGAGTCTCACAGACTTTCCTGCCCAGGCTGGCTTTGAACCACAATCCTCAGATCCCAGCTCCTAAGTAGCTAGGATTACAGGTGTGAGCCAGCAGCACCCAACAAATGAATCTACCCTAATTCTAAAATTCTATTTCTTTCCACCCTGCCCCCCAGCACTGGGTGGTTAAACTCAGGGCCTTTCCAGCAAGAACTCCAACACCAAACTTTTAAATTCTCAATAGAGGCTTAAGGGGTGCGTGTGTGTGTGTGTGTGTGTGCGCTCGTCTGTGTGTGTGTGTGTGTGTGTGTGTCCGGAGATTGCTTGTGTGTGTGTGTCTGGAGATTGCTAAATTCTTAATAGAGGCTTAAGGTGTGTGTGTGTGTGTAGATTGAACCAAGCAGCTGTCTAAATTCTCAATAGAGGCTAAAGGTAGGTGTGTGTGTGTGTG